AAACCCACATAAATACTGTTATGTCATACTAGATAAAGATGCCAAGAACATTAACTGGAGAAAAGATAGCCTATTCAATGACTGGTTCTGGCAAAACTGAAATCCATATGTAGCAAAATGAAATTAAACCTCTATCTCTCCCTGCACAAAAATCAACTTAATGTGGGTCAAAGACTTAGGCATTAGAACAGAGACCCTGAGCCTAATAGAAGAAAATATAGGCCCAAATCTTCACATTGGCCTAGGATCTGAATTCCTTAACAAGACTCCTAAAGTGCAAGAAGTAAAATCAAGAATTAATAAATGGGATAGATTCAAATTATAAAGCTTTTTCTTAGCAAAGGAAACAATTAAATGAGGAGCGAGCCTACAGATTGGGAGAAAATCTTTACCACATTCATCTCCAATAAAGCACTAATCTCTAGGAAATATGAAGAACTCAAAAAACTTAACACCAAAAAAACCAAATAACCCAATGAATAAATGGGCTAAGCAACTGAACAGACACTTCACAGAAGAAGAAATACAGTTGATCAAAAAATATATGAAAAAGTGTTCAACAACTCTAGCAAGTAGAGAAATGCAAATCAAAACTAAGATTTCATATCACTCCTGTCAGAATGACAATCATGAAGAATACAGGCAACAATAAATATTGGTGAGGATGTAGTGAAAAAGGTACGGTCATACATTGCTGGTGGGACTGCAAATTGGTGCAACCACTCTGGAAAGCAGTATGGAGATTCCTCAGAAAATTGGGAATGGAACTACCATTTGACCCAGTATCCCACTCCTTGGTTTATACCCAAAGGACTTAAATTCAGTATACCACAGGGGTGCAGCCACATCAATGTTTATAGCAGTTCAATTCACAGTAGTTAGACTATGGAACCAATGTAGGTATCCCTCAATAGATGAAGGGACAAAGAAAATGTGGTATAAATACTCAATGGAATATTAGCTTTAAAGAAGAGTAAAATTATGGCATTTGCTAGTAAATGATTGGAGTTGGAGACTATCATGCTAAGTGAAGTAAGCCAGTCCCACAAAACCAAAAGCTGAATGTTTTCTCTAATATGTGGATGCTTTTTCACTAGAAGGTAGGGGGCACTAGGGAAGCGTTACCTTAGATTAGGTAGATGGAATTGATTGGAGAGGAGAGGAGGGGATGTGGCCATATGGCCATAGGAAAGATAGTAGAATGAAACAGACATGATTACTGTATGTATATATGTGACTACATGACCAATATGATTCTGCAAAGTGTACACTCAGAAAAATGAGAAATTATATCCCATCTATGTATAATATATCAAAGTGCATAAATGCATTCTACTGTTACGTATAACTAATTAAAACAAATAAAAATATTAAAAAAAATCCCCTTCAGTGGTACTTCCTAGGTGACCAAACTTCCTCCAGCTAACTGCACCTCTGAAAGGCTCCACTGCCTCTCAGTAACACCACAGGCTGGTGACTACAAACCTGTAGCACAAGCCTATAGGGGATACCTACCTAAATTATAACATTGAAGTGAGACCCTGATCTGTTCCTCTGTTCTCCCCATCATAGACCACAGCTTCTCCACTTTCATCCTGTGTATTGGATTTCTACAAAGCCATGAAGATCATTTCTATCACAATATTTTTATCATGGAAGATAAATAAAATAAACTCCCATGTTTTTGAGAAACAAAATTTTACAATATAAGTAATAAACCTCTTTATTTTTTTTTTCCTCTTGCTCAGGACTAGTCTCTAGAAAGAGCCTTCAGTATCCTTAAAGGTTGGCAGCCAGGTGCAAAGTCCTATCTCCTCCTTAGCACAGGCCAATGAGCTGTAAATTTCAGACTCAGCCTCCTGGAATTTACCTGTTTCAAAGCCTGGAGGCCTAAAGTACTTTGAGTTCTAAAGCTCACTTAAGAAGCACAGGCTAATATGTATGTTTCCATTTTTCCTTTTGTCTCCTTTCCTACCTTCTTTTAAAAGTATCAAAATATCACATCCTGGGATTTAATGGTGAGTAGTGAAGTACAAAATATTATGTTAGCATCTCTGGGCCTGAAAAGGATTCCGTTTCTGTATTCATGTCAGGTGCTCTGCCACTGTATCTCTTTCATCTCAATCTTTAATCTTTCCACAGAAAGATCATGAGAGGGTGCAGAGAAATGAAACATGAACGTTTTCATCTTCAGGTCTTTTCTTACTCATTTCCTGATACAGTATATTTAGTGTCTACATTTTTTTAAATCTCTTTTCTTTTAAATATTTGGTAGTATAGGATAAAATTTTGTTGTTGTTGTTGCTGGTGGTGTTTTTGTTTGTTTTTGCATTGCTGGGAATTGAACCCAGGGCTTGGCACATGCTAGGTGAGTGCTCTGCCACGAAGCTACACCCCCAGCCTAACTGCTTTTTAAAAATTATTTAAAAACCCAGGCGGAAATTTTATTTGTTTAAAGGAATAAAACATTGATTTAAATTACAGATTTATTTGTAGAAGTTAGTGTCTGAAGAGGAGGAGGCCAGAAATGTGTGTTCATGTGAGCTTACCTCTCTGTCATCTAATACTTCTTGTAGAAGAGAGAGTCTGAGTATATCTAGAATGAGGAATGGTTTTGTTAGAAGGAATTACTGAGTAAGTTTGCAGGGCCAAGTGGTCCAGAAGAGTTGCCACATGAAATATTTGTGGTGTGAGTCTGAAGCACAGGTATCTTCTGTGTAGGTAATACCCAAAGTTCAGATATATAGCTGTTTTCTTACCATTTCATAAAAGTGTATTAGGTGCCTACTGTGCACAACATATTAGGTGCTGCATCATTGAATTGGACAGGTCAATAATGTATTATACTAGGAGAGGCAGTGACATGAATCGAGGCTGAAAAATGTGGCTAAACTGAGGTTAAAAACAGATCTGTGAGAGGGGAAAAAAAAACAGTGCTGTGGATGAGGCAGAGGAAAGAGAGTCTAAATATTGGTATAATTATCAGGATCCATGGATTAAAGTATAAAATAGTGATATCTTTAGTCTTTTCATAAACACTGTTTGCTCTCTGAATCTTAATTTTTGTTTTTACATGTAGTTTTTATTTGTAGTTCATTGCAAGAGATATTCTTAATACCCACATGACAATTATATTATTTCTTATATTGTATTTAGAGTTAAAATGAAAATAATGGCCTTACTTTGTTGGGTTTCTGGCTCCAGAACCTTGGAAGCTACTATACTTTCGGTAGAATAGCTTTGAAAGATGTATTGAGTCAGGGGACTTTTCATTGATTTAGAGGAGTATCAGTGAGCATGGCTTGTTGCATAAATGGAACTGGCTTTCTGAGTGTGTTAGCATGAATCTACCTTGGAACATACCCAGGGGATTCCGAGCAACAGAAAACATCCAGGTGTCCTACATTCATAGAATTTCCCATTTGAAAGACCCGTTAAAATTTATCTAAAGTTACCTTTTCAGTTTAAAAACACTGAGGCCTAGAGATGTTAGATGAGTCTTATCATAATTTGGAGAGAGCTTTGGTGGTAGTATACCTGAATGCATGTTGCTGTTGTGATTTCTTTGATGGATTTTAAATGATGTATCTGCTATTTATAATTTTGCCAGCTATTAGGAAGAGACACTTAAAGAAAATGACAGATAATTTAAAATGACATGAGCAGTTTTAAAAAATATTTTCAGTCATTTAATTAGGATTATTTGCTTCAAACTCCATCTTTTTTTTTTTTTTTTTGCTGTAGGCCTTTAATTCACAATTAGTGGTGGTAAACATGATGCTTAATGGCAAATGAAATAGGATTATTATTAAAAACAATTAATAATAACACTGTTATTATTCACAGAAAAGAAATAGGTGTAAAGAAACAAACTTGGGCACTTAATTTCAGGGAAATTCATCTTATAAGCAGAGGGCTGTTTCATCTTAGATCCTTTGTTAGTCACCTTTGCATGACTGTGACAAAATACCCAGGATAATCAACTTATAAGGAGAAAAGTTTCATTCTGGCTTAGGTTTCAGTTGATGGTTAATTCACTTGCTGCTGTTGGAGCTGTGGCAGAACATCATGGTAGGGAGCATTTGGCAAAGGAATTTGTTTACCTTGTGGAAGTTCAGAAGCTGAGAGAGAAGGGGCTTGGGTCCTAATTCACCTTGAGGGCGTGTCCCCAGTGACCATACTCCCACTAAGTTCCACCTTTTTTTTTTTTTTTTTTTTGGTAACAGGGATTGAACTCAGGGGTACTGGACCATTGAGCCACATTTCTTATTTTGTAATTTATTTAGAGATATGTTCTCACTGAGTTGCTTAGTGCTTCACTTTTGCTGAGGCTGGCTTTGAAGTTGCGATCCTCCTGTCTCAGCCTCCGTAGTCGCTGGGATTTCAGGCATGCACCACTAGGCCCTGCAAGTTCTACCCCTTGAAGGTTCCCCTGCCTCCCAGTAGCACCACAGACTTGACAACAAGCTTTTAAGATATGGGCCTTACAGGACACTTATCCAAAACATAGCAGTCCCAATTAATATGATTGTTTTGTGTTTTGTGATACTAGGGATAGAGCCCAGGGGTACTCCATCACTGAGCTACATCCCTATCACTTTGAAAGAAACTTTTCAAAATTTTGAGACAGGATCTCACTCAAGCTTATTTATTAAGCTTATTAGTTCAAGTTAATTTGGAATCCTGACTTAGCCTCCTGAGTCACTGGGATCACAGACACCCAGTCATATAGTGTGTTTGCATGATGTGTTGGTCTAGAATGTGTATATTATGACTTTTACTCATTATTTTCATCATAATTTGTAAGAGAAATATTAGATTTTTTTCATTTTTCAATTTTCAGTACTGCATAAAAATACTATAATGGTGTATACATATATAATAATTGTAATTTACTATTGGAGGTTATTGTGGTCAACCCAAACACAAAAGCATGTGGTGAGTTCATACTCAGTACTATTAGATCATATTTTACAATAAATGTAAATTTCTTATTGCAGGTACATGTTGGGACTTGCAGCAATTCCAGCAGTTATACAGTTCTTTGGTTTTCTCTTTTTGCCGGAAAGTCCTCGATGGCTTATTCAGAAAGGACAGACTCAGAAGGCTCGTAGAATTTTATCTCAGATGCGTGGTAACCAGACCATTGATGAGGAATATGATAGTATCAGAAACAGCATTGAAGAAGAGGAAAAGGAGGTTGGTTCAGGTATGTGGATTTCATACTTAGGGAAATTTAATATTATATGCTGGTTTTATTTATAAATTATATTCCTTTAGTATTGTTTAATATAACTAAGTTATATAATGATTTTATGGATACAACCAAGCCAAAGTAAATATATTTTCATTTAAAAGTATTATAATAATGTTGAAGAAACGAAGATTGCTACTGTCCTCACATAATCACTATTTTCTTTCTTCTTCTTTTTTTTTTTTTACTATTTTCATATTTTTCTAAATTAGATATACTTGATCTAGTTGTGATTTTGTATGTTTGTATCTTCTGAATGTCTATGTATATGTCACTCAGATGTATAAATATATGCATTCATTATTGACCTTTCATATTAATTTTAAAAATCATAGTGCAAAGTATTTTCAGAATAAGTAACCTCAGTTAAAATATTAAATGCCTTGTTAACATGTATCACATTAATTTCCATACCAAATTTTTTTAATTAAGAACATGAACACCTTCGTGTATTAGCTTTGAAATAATTGTGTTTGTTTTATCAGAATGTTTAATTAGGTATCTGATCCAAAATTTTGCCATGTCAAAAAACCCAAAATAGGCTCTAGTTAACTTATGTTGATGTATTTACTTCCAGAGAATATATTATATAGAGACATATAAAAAATATTCTCAGGCAGGATCTATAATCTTGACACTCTGATTTGGACAAGCAATTTGCGGATGTAAACATTGTGTAAAAATAGGCATTTCAAATACATTTTTTAAAACAAGAACAGCGAACCTGCCTGGTTCACATTTCCCAAGTTTGTATTTCTTTTACTTTTATTTTGCTTTTTGCTATACTCGGGATAGACTCATGGCTTCATGCATCCTAGGCATTTGTTCTACCACTGAGCTGTATCCTCAGCTCTTTTTGAGACAGGGTCTTGTTAAGTTTCCCAGACTGTCCTGGAACTTGGAATCCTCCTGCCTCAGCTTCCTCATAGCTGGGATTACAGACCTGTACAATTGCCAAATTGGTATTTGAAAAATCTTGACCTTCCTTTTGTCTTTACAGAATTGGTAGTTCAAATGATAAGTCTAGTTTATAGTTGTGTTGTTTTACATATCTGAGAAAATGCTAAACACACACTTTTATTAATACATGCCACAAATAGGTATTGGAAGGTCTGTTTGCTCACTTGCTCCTATTTTTGATGGAACTGAATATCATTATTTTCCTGAATCAATAGAATGCACACCGTGGAAACAGGTCACCCACATGGGACTTGATATAACTTTGTGTATATGCAGCATAGTAGACTGGTGCTATTACCTTCTTGCCCAGACTAAAGACCTAACTATTTGTGAGGGTCATTTTTATATACTGTAAGCACCTAATTTGTGTCTGGCAATGTTAGCATTTCCAGAGTAATACATCAGTGTAAAGATAACTTTTTTTTTTAATAAAATAATTTGCTGAGTTCAACATTGGGTTAATTTTTTAAAAATTAAATTTAAATTATGTTGAATTTAAAAATATCTATTTAAAGGACAAATAACTTCTTTCATGCTCCTATCTGAATGGTTTCTGTTGTTATTAGTACAGTTGAATATATGCTAATATTGTGTGAGTGGAAAAAGTTCAGATTATTAGGATAATCATATTAAATTATTTTGGATTTTAGTTATATAATAAGTAAGACAATTTAATTTAAAAAGAGGCAAGGATACCACTGATTTTTAGTACAAAGCATTAAATGTATAATTTCATTTTGAGCTTAAAAAAATGTCTGGTCTACTGGTCTAGCCAAGTGGTTGTTGACAGTACACACTAGTTGTAACAGAAATTAATTAATAAACTAATTAATTAATAATCATCAGCATTGTAATATTCAAGAGCATGACTCTGTGTCCCTGCAATTCATAAGCGGAGACCATCACAGAGACAGATTAACAAACCAGCTAGGTCTTGGTCCTCCCTCCATTTGCATTTAGACTAGTAGGGTTGGTGGACAAACACACATGAAGAAACAGCTAACTGCAAAGTAGTAAAAATGTCCTGGCCTAGAGAAGATGAGTCAACCCTTTTGTAGGAAGATTAGAGAATGGCCTGTTATGTCTTATTATCCTGAGGAGGTGAATTTTGAGCCACACCTCCAAGTTTAGGAGCTGTGATCAGTGTTGTATAACTGTCTGGCGAGAAGAGCCTTTACCTAGATAATCACAAATTAACTGGGTAATCCAGGAGGTTAGAAAGACATAAGGCATCTGTTTTTTTTTTTTTTTAAGAAATGTTCTATCTGACAAGGCGGCTTAGTTCCTTGTTACCTGTGAGCTTCTTAATGAATAGGTTTGATTCCTGATCAGGGAACCATGACTTGTCTATTTCCCAGTGGATTTTTTAAGATTTTGATATTTGCTTTTGTGATCCTTTTGTTTTCACACAATTTTTTTTTGGTGGTGGTGGTTTGAGTTTGAGGAAAGTAGACATAGCTACTGAAGTATGGATTCACTACATTAATCTCTGTTTTGGATGTGTGAGATGTCAGTGCACGTAGCACTTATTCCTCTGTGCAAGAAGCCATCCTCTCTGTCCTGAGTACCACAGTTACTCTGGTTGTGTAAGCGGCCAAGGTGAGGCTTCCGGGCCAAGCTGTGCAACAGGATTGGATCCATGGCATGGAATTCCACCTACTCTGTGTCAGATCCTCAGCAAGGCACCCAGGGTCTTGGTGGTTTCTCTGGAAATGCTAACATTGCCAGACACAAATTGGTCTTGGCCCTCCTCAGTTTGCAAAACAACAACAAAAAAGGCATTTTATGGGAATGGAAACAAACATTTGGTTTTCACATGTGCTCAACACTGTTTATACCTCCTGTAGGAATAATAAAGGAAGACTAGAGGAAACAACAGCTTGCTTTGGAAAGCTCCCTGGAGTGGGAAACAAGGGGAGTGGAGAGACTGGTTCTGGCTCCACCTCAGACTTGTAGTGCTAAAAGAATCTGGGAGAGGCACTGAGTCTCAGCTTCTTTTGGGGTTTCTAAGAAAGACAGCTAGATTATAAGAGTTCCAAGCTCTCTTGTTGTTGTTTTTTGTTTTTATTTTTCCTTTAGCGTTTTAAAATGAGTGATAAATGTCTCCTCTTCATTTCAAATGTGGTTATTGAGTGGCACTCAGTAGATGTGGGAAATGGCCATAAATAAGTCAGATGAGATTCTGTTCTATCATTTTGGGACACATGTTAAGCAAAATAGTAAATAATTACCAGATAACTAAAAAATATGTAATTGTTTAAAGAAAATAGTGTGCTTACACACTCATAAAGGAACTGAAGAAAGGCTGTTTTTGATGGGGTGGTTAGGACAGGCCTCCAAAGAGGTAGATTTGAAGTGTGGGACAGAAGCAGCAGTATAGAGAACTGGAGGGAAGAGTGTTCTGGGTATGGGGAGCAGTAGTGTAAAATTATATGTGTCATTAAGTGTATCAGATTAGTTTTCTGGGTCTGTTTCCTTAGTAGCTATAAAGTGTACCAGATTTTTGGGACATTTTGATAAGGTCTAACTATACATCTTTATTTATCAAAGGTTGGTAAGCCTAAATGCTAAATTAGTAGAGAGACCTTTATTACCTTTAGAGTCAAAAGCAAATTTAAATACAAAATATTATGAATACCATTCCCATTGTACAGCTCTCATATTTTGTTTTCCTAGTGTATTTCAATGGCATAGATGTGTAATAGAGTCGTGACTTGTATATAAGAGAAAAACCTGAGAGAGACCTAGATAATTGATTAAGGCAATGATTGGCAGACCTTTCCACTTAGCTTCAAAGATTGGGGGGGGGAGAGAGGTGCATAACACCACACAGCAAGAAGGCAGCTGCGGTAAGCTCAAATTTTACTTGATTTTTTTTATGCTTTATCTTAGAAATTAACAAAAGTTTGAATTCTGTTCTGTAGAACAAGAATAGAAATGCTAAAAATGCATTTCCTAAAAATCTCAATATTTCCTAAATATGTTTAATCAAAGATATTTTCCTAAATATGCTTATTCAATAATTATTTCATATATATATATATATATATATATATATATATATGTTTCACAGTCAACTCGTTCAGTCCCAAGTTTTAATTCCATGAATAATTTAATGAAATTGGCACAGGTACATTAAAATAGGTTGGAAATCATAAGCTAGAGCTTACATGTTTTTTATGTATATTTTCATAGACACACATATGGATACATAAGTTTTTCAAATACTTATTATTCATTAATGTTCTCAAAAGAATAGAACTCTGAAGATACTTATTTCAAAAGTTACCAAAAGTGATATATTTCTTGCTCAATTTAAGTTTTCATAGGTGTCCCACATTTGGGATAATGGGACTCAATGGGTTAATGAGTTCTTCTCTTAGGTAAATATATTCAGCAAGGTATTAAAAGTAGGGTGTGCCCATACCAGGAGAGATGAGTGAGTATGTTTTAAGGATAAGAAGGTCAAAGCGTATTTGTCAGGAGCTTTAAGTTGAAACAGTTGATAATTGTTTCCCAGTTAACAGAATAAAATCAGTTATCAAAAGGAAATCTTCCAAAGGCATTTTAGGGAGGAATTTAGAAATGAGAGTTGTGTGTTTGTATTCTTTGTACCATCTTGCTTAATAGTGCTTAGTTGACTTCTTCAATTTCATGTCCTGTATCAGAGAATAAGAAGTGTATTTCTGGAATGAGAGATAAGTAACACCAAGGCGGCTGCTCCCATGCTGTGGTAGCACCAGTTCCTGAGTCTTGTGCAGTGACCCCTCAGGCAGTGCTTAGGGAAGTTCCCCAATGAGGCACCATCCCTATTACCCCATTTTCCACTCTGGGCCATGGTAGTAAAGCAGTATCCTGGAAGGGAAAATGTGACCAGGAAAGCTTTTCCTCTGCATGTGCAAATGGTGATATGTGCAACCCCTCAACCCCAGGGCAAGAGAAGGAATGACTAGGAAGAAAGGGGTTGTCTGGATAGTTTCAGTGCAATAGCAGGT